CCCGGAGTTCCCCTCGCCTCCCCCCCCCCCATATTTCCATCCCTCCTCGTCCCTCCCCCCCCCATTGCCTCCCCCGGCGGGCTCGTCCCTTGGCTTTGTGGTCGACGGAAACCGTTCGCCGTGAGTTCCTGCGCGCGTGCGTCCACTGCAAAGCCTTAGGTCCCGAATCTGTGTAAAACCAGAGGAAAACGGTTCTGGCGCTTCCCCGTCCCCCCCCCCTTCTCCCCTTCCTTGCTTCTGGTCCGTCCTCTCCGCCCCTGCCCCCGGCCGGGGCGCCGGGCGGCTGCGGCCGCGCGCCGAGAGCCGGCGAGCGCCGCGGGCGCGGCCCTGAGTCCGTTGGGCCGCGGCGGAGGCGTCATGCGAGGCTCCCACGGCGGCGGCGGGCCCGAGTGCAGGCGGGCCCGCGGCTGCGAGGGGGCGCGCGAGCCGCGAGCTGCCCCCGCGCTGCGCCGAGGTCCGTCTGCCCAGTGCAAGCTCCAGATCGTTCTCGACTGGCGCGACCGCGCCGACGAGCGCGGGGTCGAGATCCCATCCGCCCCCCGCCAGCCGTCGGCGCCGAGCTGGTCGGGGGGCCCAGGCGGTCGAAAGCTGGCGCGAGATGCGGGCGGCTCCCGAGCAGAAGGTCGCGACGGCGAGGCTCGGCAGGATCGGCCTCGCAGCCCGCGGATGCGTCCGCCCTGGTAGGGCAGTGCAGGAGCGAGGGCTGGGGGGCTTTCCCGCGACGTTCCTGGTCTGGCCGCGGCCGAGCGCCTGGTCGAGGGCGTCGCGCGCCGCGCCCCGGAACCCGGGCGACGCCGCCCCTCGGCCCGACGCTTTGCCCGGTTCCGTGCTTGGCGAGGGGGCCAGCGGAGAACCGGTGCGCGCTGGCGCCCCCATGCTCTCGGGACTTCCCGGTGACCTTGCAGCTCTTGCGGAAGTAAGGCGGAGGCCCAGGGCGTGGTTCCTTTCGGCGGTGATCTATGCCTCAATGGGGGTCGAGTAGGTGGGGTCGTGGCGTCGCGCCGCGTCGCCGATGAATCGGCGATGCGCCTCGAGGTGGGGCCCGATTTTCTTTTCGCCGACGGCGCCGATGGCGTCGCCGTCGTCGTCGGCGCATCTCTCGTGGATTTGCGATGCGGCGCGGCCCCCCGACCTCGTCTACTCGGACCCCATTTCGGGCGACTCCGGGCGGCTAGCGTGGCCGAGGCCGAAGCTTTCGATCGGCTCGCATATCGCGGCGAGCGCGCGCTGGCGCCGCGCCAGGCGCCGGCCTTCCAGTGCGTGACTCCTTGTGGGGGCGGCAGGCTCAGCGATGCGCCGTGGAAAATGAGCGCATCCGCGACGCGGGGGGCGTCGGGGCGCAGGCGGAGAGCGCCTGCCATCTGAAGCTGGGCGAGGAGGCGCAGGCCATCGGTCCGGGGACGAACGGTCTCTTGCTTTTCGAGACAAAGCTCGCTCTCGCCATTTGGAGAGATAGTGGCGCGAGCTCAACTGTTAGAGCTCAGCTTGGATTTCTCGGGCCGGCGCCGTGCCCCCCAGAGGCGCCCGGCGCCGCCTTTGGAGCGCTCCGCGCGCCAGGGGGGGCTCCAGCCCTGATTCGAGAAATCCGCCAGCATTCCAGATTCCTTGTTAGTTCCTTCGTCCCTTCTCTTAGCCGTGTTCAAAGATGCAGCGAGGCCCCCCGAGGCCGCGCGCAGCTTTCTTTGGCGCGTTCTGCAGGGGCGGCTAGAATACCGAGCAACTCGTTTGGATCTCGTGGCTCGCGCAGCAGGTCGACGACGGGCCCGCCCGGGTCCGGCGGCCCAGGGCCGCGCGCGAGCTTGTCGCTATCGCCGACGAGGTACGACGAAGGAAGGCTTACGTGAACGTGAATTGTCGGAGTTCCGCGCGGACCCCCGATCGTTTGTGTTCGCGCAGTGTTCTGCTCTTCTAGAGGTGGATGAATTCGTGAAAATAGCCCTCCCCCCCCCCCCCCCCTCCTCGGCGCGGGATAGGCCCCCCGCCCGCCCGCTTGGCGGCGGAGCTGCCCAGAGACATGCCGAGCCTGAACATGGGGCATCTTGGCCGCTTCTGGTTTGGCCCGCTCGGCCAAGCGGGCGTCTGGGGGCACGTGGTGATCGAGCGGGGGGGATTGTCTGAGAAGCGCAATTGGCCGAGTCCTGCATGGCCTTATCTCAGCGACGCGGCGTTCTACCAGTCCGCGCCGTGGTGCGTGAGCAAGTGCCTCGCTCTACTCGATCGCGATGAGCCGCTCGTCGCGAGTCGGCATGTGATGGCACTCATCATTGAACTTGGGGGGTGCCAACATGATGGGCGCCCGCTGGAATTTGGGGGGCGCAGCATCCGCGGGCGGATCCTGGGCGCGGTCCGACGAGACGCCGCGACACCAGACTTCCAGGGGGTATTCGAATTTATCGGCCCTGGGCCAGCTGTTGCCCCTCGAGAGTGCAGGAAGCAACGTGGAGGTGCGTCTCGGATCGGTGGAATACGGCAGTGAAGTTCCAGCGCCGCTACCAGAGCAGCTGCTTGCTTTGCGATGTGGATGGGGGGCGCAGACACCATCAAGCATTACAGCCGCCGCTGGGTGGTCCGACGGTTGTCAGGGCTGGGGCTGCGCCTCAACTCCACTGTCTTTGCCGCTATGATGCGTGGACGGTGTGCACGCCAGAGTTGGAGACCGCGGGGGACATCGGCTGCGTGGCCCTGGGCACCCACGCCGTCTACACAGTGACCAACAGGCTTCGGCATGCCGGTCGCGTTGCGCACCGAGCAAGACAAGTTTCAGGCTCTTGCGCAGACCGTCAACGACGGCGTCGAGGGCACCTGCGGCAGCGTTGGAAGGCAGAACGGCCCCAGATTGCGTGCAAGCAGGCCAAGTCGGGACGCCGAACAACCGCAGACTCCGGCAGTGGCTCCAGGACCGCCGCAGACGGCGGGTGCGGCCGCGACGATCGTGATGGTCTACCACGTGTACTGCGCGGTTCCTGGTTCTCCTATTCCTCCCCCTTCTCCTCCTCCTCCTCTTCCTCCAGTTCCTCCATGCGCGTGCGTGAAATGCATGGTCGCTCTTCCTGGCCGGGGGCCTTCCCGCTCCTTGTGGTTGGGGGTTCCGCGTGTCTTTCTGGCCCCTTGCCTGTGTTTCCTCTCCTCCCGCCTCCCCCGCTCGCTCCCTCCTCCGTAGTTTCAACCCATGACGTCGCACGTCCGTGTCGCTTGTTGCTGCGTTTGGCGGGTTGTGGTGCGTTCGATATGCTGGTGTTGCTGCTTGGGCCCGTTCCCGGTGCCCCATTTGAAAATCGGCGCCAGAGCATCCTGGCCGCCAGGACGGCGCATGTCGCACTAGCATCATTCCTGAAGGCATCCCCTCCCCTTTCCTTCTTCCTCCTTTCCTCCTCGTCCTTTTCCTCCTCCTCCTCGCCCTCCTCGTCAGCTTTCGCCCACACTTGCGGGCCGAGTTTCGTGTTTTTCTCGTTGCGCGCGGATCTGCCAAGGAGTTCTTGCAAAAGGCAGTTTTTTTCCCGAGCTCGCGCCGCAGCACCGCCTGTGTGACTGTCCCCCCTCTTCCCTTCTTCCGACTTCTGCGCCAGCTCCACACCCTGCATGGCTGGTGTTTTGTATTGCACGCTTTCATTGTGCACGCGGCATGTTTAGTTGACTTGTGAACTGCTGCGTCGCTGCTCTACCGCCCACCTGGTGGCGGCAAATGGGATTCGTCGGCGGTGTGAACGGCGAGAGGTTTTCCCCGCAGGCCTGGAGGGCCTTGGTCGGCGCTGGGGGTCGATCCTGGGCAGCTGGATGGCGCGGGCCGCTCGCCGCGGCGGCTTTCGGCCGTCTACCTTTTCCGCAGGGAGCCCACCGAAGCCTTTACCTCTATCAGCTCACTCTTAGTGTCGAGAGGCTGATGGGTAGATGCGGCTGCTACTTCTACTTTTCCGTTCCCTGTCCCTCCTCCCCCCAGGCTGTCGCTCTTGCAGCTGTGTTTGATGGTATAGAGTTGGCCGTTTGGGCCCCATGGGATTCACGCGACGTGGCTATTCCCGATCTCGCCTGTCTCCTTCTCGTCTGTTTCTTCCCTCGTCTTGTATTGGATGTGTAGTTTTTGGCCATCTGGGCCACAGGGATTCTATGAATCATGACTGGTGGCACTTCCTTCCATCCCTGGCTTCGCGTATCGGCTCGCGTGCTGCAGGTTGGTGGTCGCGCTACGCCAGGCTCTTGTTTCGCTCCCCCGTCCTCCCTCCGTCCTCTCTCCCTCCCTCCCTTTCCTCCGCGTCACCACTGCAGTAGAATCTGGTTTTGCCTACACTTCTGATTAAGTTTAGTTGGCATAGAAGCTGCGGGGTCATCCGCAGCCTCCGCTGCAGCTGGTCCTGCCTGTCCTTCTCTGCTCCGCCCCGCGCTGGGATCCTGGACCGCGCCGGTCTCGAGCGGCAGGAGGTGTTGCGTGTCGATTCTGCAGCGTCGCGTTTGAGCCTCCTCCTCGATCGGGTCAGGGTCATGCCGCTCGCGGGCTCGGAGGTTTTCAGGCTACACTGGTCTACCTTCTTCTCTGACGCAAAAAAAGGTGCCCATCATGAGCGTCACTGCACGCGGTAGAGCACGTGAGGATTTCCAGCGTGCGGTTGGCAGTGTGTCTCTTTCGAGAAGGATGCGGCTCTTTTTTGAGCAGGAGACAGCTTATACCAAGCAGTTGTACATGTGCCATCGCAGGAAACCGCGTGGGGAATCCGTCCGTGGCCCTAATGTCGTCGTCGTCGTCGTCATCCTTGTCGTCCTCTTCGTCGTTGCTGTCGCCGTCGTCGTCGCCGTCGCCGTCGTCGTCGTTGTCGTCGTCCTTGTCGTCCTCGTTGTTCTCGTCGTCGTCGTCCTCGTCGCCGTCACCGTCGCCGTCGCCGTCGCCGTCGCCGTCGCCGTAGCCGTCGCCGTCGTCGTCGTCGTCGTCGTCGTCGTCGTCGTCTTCTTTCTCCTTCTCCTGCTCCCCTCCCCTTCTCCTCCTGCTCTTTACCATGGGTGCGCGACAGGTTGCCGAAAAGACCCTGGACACCACCGAGAAGGAGCTCGAGGAGATGACCAAGGGCTGCGCGACGGCCGAGGCGGACTACGAGGCGGCTCGCGGCGGGAATCGTCGTCGTCGTCGGCGTCGCCGTCGTCAACGTGGGAGGGGGAGGGCGAGAAGGACAAATGCAAGGATGATGGGGAGGAGGAGGAGGAGGAGGAGGAGGAGGAGGAGGAGGAGGAGGAGGAGGAGGAGGAGGAGGAGGAGGAGAAGGAGCAGGAGGAGGAGGAGTAGGAGGAGGAGGAGGAGGAGGAGGAGGAGGAGGAGGAGGAGGAGAGGGAGCCAACGATGCTGCAATGCTCTCCCGTCCTCAGTCCCCTCCTCATGACTCCCCACACGGATCGAGTATCAACGCAGCAGGCGCCCCCTTGAAATCTGAGCGCCGACAACAAAGTCCATGGACGTGTCAAGCGAGCTCCCCATTAAGGAAAGAAGCTGTTGCACATGTTCTAGGTGTCGGGCCGTCAAACCCCAAATCTCAAGCGACAGCACCATTTCGACAAGGATTCGCCCTCCATGGGTGCAGCTGCTGCAGGTGTTCAAGTTTTGTGACGTCGGAATTTGGGAGTATCAAGACAAAATGATAGAGATACCCATTTCGGAAAGGAACCATCTCCGTCCGTATGACTGTGACAAGCTTGTAAGGCGAGTGTGCAAACCGCTACGGCGAAAGCCTCGTCTTGAGAGACGAACGGGCGCGGCGCTTAAGCGATGCGAGCGACCAGAAACCGCGAACCACGTTCCGTTTGCATTCGGTTCGCGCCCCGGCGACATTGCTTTCGCCAGGTCGTATTCTTTTTTGCACTTTCTTTGTTATTTTCATCCGTGTTCAGCTTCCTTCATATCCTCGCAACTACCCAGCTGTCTTTTGTTTGATCGGGGCGAGAAGCAATGTCTCGATCCATCATTGAGGTAGAAGGCATATGTCATGTAGTTGGCCCTCCGGGATCATGTTGCACGTGTTCGCCGAGATCGTTGACCATTTGATCTACCGCTGCCAACGTGTACGTACAACCGTTAAGTTGTTCGATGAAGTCTATCACATGGGCTCTACACAGTGCTCTTCCCTTCCCCTCCCTTCTCCATCCCCTCTCCGTCCTTCTCCCATCCTGCCTTTCTCACTCCATTCAAATGTCCGCCCCTTTTCCTTATCCTCCCTTCCTCTTCCTCCTGTCTTTCTCTGCCCTTTCCTCATATCCCCCTATCCCCCTCTTCCTCCTCACCTGTGTCCTCCTCTGCTCAGCCCCATATCCAGCCCCTCCTCCCCCGGTTCCTCCCCCTGCTCCCCTTTCAGTGTCTCTTCATCTTCAACGGATCATCAGCACCACACGACCTTCGACATGCTGTGGGCGTGGCGGCACCGCGCAGGTCCGCCTCGAGCAGGGGCCAGGCGCACTGGCGGTGCGCGGCCCAGCGGCAGCGGCGCTACTCGCGCTCGAGCGGCTGGGCTGGAGTTCCACGGCGATGGACCGCTGGACCATGGACAACGGCACGGCGCTAAAGCTCGAGGAGATCGGCGGCCACACGCTCCGCAGGTACATCCGCGACTCGCACCAGCGGTGGCAATGGCGCGAAGCCGCGGCCCGCGACGCGGACCTCGAGCACGTGGCTAGCGGCGCAGCCACCCGCGGCCTCCGACGGGGGATGCTCGGCGCCAAGGCAACCCCCGAGCAACGGGCGCGCTGGTCCAGCGCCCGCAACGCGGCGCTCGGCGGGCTTTGGCCAGTGGCCCGCCGAGCCGCCCTCGTCCCGCCGCTGTGCCGCGCGGGCGCCTGCCCAGCGGGATGCGGCGGCCGCGGCACGGTGCGGCACCTCGCCTGGTGGTGCCCCGCCCTCGCAGCGGAGAGGCCCGACGCCATCGCGGGGGACGTGGTGCTGCAGGCCTTCGCTGACGTGGCCGATGCCTCCGACAGCGATGACCCCCGCTACTCGAGAGCGCTCATCCCAGACCAGACGGCCGCCTTCCCGCCACCGCTGGAGACCGAGGAGGTGCGGTGGAGCAGCAGCCTCGGCTACGCAGCCTTGGCGGGCGCCAGCGTCCTGTGCACCGACGGTTCGGCCATGCATGGGAAAGCGGAGTCGCCCGAGGTGCGCGCTGGCTGGGGGCTCGCAGCACTTCAGGTCCGCGGCGTGGCGCGCGGCGCCTGGGGATGCGTCCCCGCCCACTTGCCGCAGGACGCGAACGAGGGCGAGATCATGGCCGCCGCCCGCGCCCTGCGCTGGGGCCTACCAGGCGCGGACGGAGTCCTCGAGATCCGGACGGACTGCGAGGTGCTTGTGACGGGCTTCGCCGCGGGCAAGGCATGGTACTGTGCATGGGGTCGCCCGTGCATGGAGGTGTGGCGCGAGTTCTGGCAGGCCGTGGACAGCTTCGGCGGCCAGCAGTGCATGCGCGTCACCAAGGTGAAGGGGCACGCCACGCTCCGTTCCGTCCACGACGGCCGCGCCAGGATGGACGACTACGAGGGCAACCGTGCCGCGGACAGCTTCGCCAAGAAGGGCGCGGAGCTCCACCCCGCGGGCGAGGCGGCGATGGGGCGCGTCGAGCTGGCCGACGCGATCGCGGTGGCAGCGGCCCGCTGGCCCGGCGAAGCGCTGCAGCCGGGAAGCACCGCCCTCGCGGCGGCCGACGGCGTGGGCGCGGGCGCGGCGGAGTCCACCTGCTGCGGGCGCAGCGGCGGGCGGCGGGGCGCCGCGCGCTGCGGCGACGGCAGGCCAGGCAGGCTGCGGGCGATGGCCATGCGGCGGCGCGGCGGTCTCGGACGCGAGCGGCACGCGCTGGCTCTCCGACGCCTGCGCGGGCCGTTCGGACGGCGCGCCCGTCCCAGGCGGGCCAGCGGCTGCCTCGGCGGGGAGTGCCGCGGGCGGGCCGCCTGGGCCCCAGTCGCCCAGGCGGAAGCGCCGAGCCCCTGGCCAGGACGCCGACCTGCGGCGCGGCCGCGCGCGGGCCTCCACGAGCACGAGCCGCCGCGGCGCCGAGGGCGCGGGTGCGGCCGCCGCGGCGGCGGTGGCGGCAGCGGCGCTGGCGGCCCAGGCCCGCGGAGGAGCCCAGCACGAAGACGACGACGACGCCGACGCGGAGGAGAGCGGCGGAGCGGCTGGCGCCGCGGCTGACGGCGCGCTCCCACGCTGGTGGCACGTGAGCTTCGACGAGTCGCACCGCCTCTCGACGATCGGTGATGGTCCTCGCCGCCTCGTCTACTGCGCGGTCTGCGACTGCTACGCGGACGGCGCCCGCGTGGTCGCGCTCCACAGCCCGTGCGCGGGCGGGGCAAGCGCCCGCCGGGCCGCCGCTCTGACGGGGGTGCAGCTAGGGCGGCCCCCCGCGCGGGCCGGTGCGGGCGCAGTGCTGGGGGGCGGCCGAACCGAGCCGCTGAGGCGCCAGCGCAGCCGTTTTCGGGGGCGCGGCTCGGAGGCGGAAGGCCCGAGCCGCTGAGCGGCGAGACAGTGCGCCCCTCCCCTCCTTCCTCTTCGGCGGGACCCGAGGGCCCCGCGGGTGTGCGCGATAATTTTGATCTGCTGCGCCTCACCCTAGTACCATCACCGTCACCATCATCACTATCATTGTCATCGTCGTCATCGTCATCGTCATCATCATCATCATCATCAACATCGTCATCATTATCATCAGCATTACCATCCCAACCACCACCATCAACATTATCATCATCTCCATCTTCATCAGCGTCAGACTCAGCATCATCAGCGACATCATCGTCATCGTCGTCATCACCGTCGTCGCCATCATCATCATCATGATCATCATCATCATCATCATCATCACCGCCGTCGCCATCATCACCACCGTCATCATCACCACCACCATCATTACCGGTACCGTTTCTCTCATCCTCCCTTCTTCCTGCCTCCCCCTCCTCCTGCCCCCCTTCCTCCTCTTCGTTTTCCCACCCGCTTCCCCTCCTCCTCCGCCCCAGTCACGCCGCCTGCCTATTCAATTCTTCGCCCTCCCACTACGCCCCCCCCCCTTCCACCCCCTCCGCCACCTGATGTACCTGCAGATGCGGCCTGTGGCGAGGTGGCTAGGCTGCAACATTCGGAGCCAAACTTGCGCAGGATCGGTTGGGTATACCAGGTGGTGAAGGTCAATTGCGAAGGGATGCTTAGCCTGGACGTGCTACGTGGCCGTGGTGCTGGCATTGCAGGACATCCTACCATAATTCGAGGTGGGCTGACGGCGCCATTACGGGCAATGGGGGATTTGCTGGTGCTTGTCAAAGTGATCACCTTCGTGACGGACGCACCTTCTGTCGTTAAGGGTGTGACGGACTCACCTTATGTCGTTAAGGGTGTTGCCAAGCTCTCCAAAATATGTCTTCCGACCGCAACCATGGAGCCTTTGGCAAAGTCTGGACCATTCGATCAACGTAACGGGGTTGGCTCCATATCTTCAATACTGATAGCCGCCAGTCTATCGATGATCTCAGAGGACGGGCGCACTGTCCGAACACTACCTGGTCACTCGCATGGCGGACGAAGCTGTGGGGTTTTGGGCCAAGGAAGTGGCTGTTGGCAAGACGATAGTGGACTCGGTAGAGTATGCCATGGCCATCGGACGAGCTGTGAGGAAACATTGGGCGAAGGCTTTTCTGGCAGCCCCTGGGGCGGAGACCCCACGCTTGCGTCCGCGCTCGATTGCTGGATCATATCAAAGGCGGGCCCATATGTCCTAGCATGCTATGTTTACCGGGATTGGCTCAGCCCTTCGTTGCCATCAATGTGGGAACGACGCTAGTGGGAGGATACTGGATCCTTTCTTGAAGACGGCGTGCTTGGGTGTCATTGTCAAAGGGCTTGTCCAGAGAGTTGGTGATATTGGTGTTTCGCTTCAACGCATCCCGATCTAAGGCTCCAATCTCCTGGGACTCGCAGATACATGCGTGTCTCAGGTTTGGGTGTGTTGGGAAAGATGCCATGCAGGGCAGTGCACTGGTGTGTTAGGCCACTACGGACGACAGACCCTCAGCAAGCTGGCGAGGGGCAGTTTGCCCAAGTCAAGTGTGCGTCAGGGCCAGACCCAAAATGTGAGGGACCTTTGGTGGGCTAAACCTACACTGCGCTCCCCGCCTACGGGGTGGTGGTGGCGCAAGAGAAGGGAGGCCAGGGAATAGCGTGCTCCCCACTTGACGTTGGCACGTGCCATGGTGGAGGCTGGCTCCACGGGGAGGCGGGCGAGGTTTCTCTATGTGCCGTGGTGGCGTCACGGGGTCGGGGGCGCTCCCCGCGGACCCTGAGGGCCTGGCAGCTGAGGTGGCAGGCGCGTCTTTCCCCTCCCCTTCCTCCTCGTCTGCCTTGCTGTGCAGCCAAGGGTGGCTTACATGCTTGCCTTGGTTGCGCTGGCTCGCGGAGCACTACGTACTCCTCCCCCGCCCCACCCCCCGCAAAGGCGTCCACGAAGAGCCGCGCGGAGGAGCTCGCGGCGGTGAGGAAGGCGAGGGAGGCCGCCCCGCCGTCTGCCGCCCCCGCCCCGCGCCGTCGCCGGACAGGCCGTCGCCGCCGCCGCCTCTGCCGCCGCCGCCTTCGTCTTCCTCGTCGTCGTCCTCCTACTCTTTCTCTTCTTGTTGTTCTTCCTCTGATCATGATCCCCCTTCTGGTTAGCATTCGTATTGTTTTCGCTCGTCGTCGTCGTACTCGTCCTCGCCCTCCAAAAACCAGCAGCGTTACCGGGAACCCCCTGGGCGTCAGCCGCCATTGACATTCGCGGCCGCCGTGCTCCGCGGGGTGGCTGCGCCAAGGCTGAGCCCACTAATGGGTTAATACGCCTCACAGTCGTCAGCCTAAGTCCTCCCCTTCTTCCCCCTTCACCAACAGCCTAGATGCGCAGCTCGCCGACGTCGCCCGCCGCCGTCGTCGACGACGTCGTTGTGGCAGTGGCGGTCGCTGTCGTGGTCGCGGTCGCCGTCGCGGTTGCCGTCGTCGCCGTCGGCGTCGGCGTCGCCGTCGTCGTCGTCGTCGTCGTCGTCGTCGTCGTCGTCGTCGTCGATCGTGTGATGATCGAAGGTCGACGGTTGTTCGAGGATCGAGGGCCGTCGTCGTCGTCGTCGTCGCCGCCGTGGCGTCGTCGTCGCGGCCGAGCCCCCTGGAGCCCCGAAGTCCCCCAGACAACGTCAGTTGTCGCCATCGTCGTCGTTTTGGCCGTGGTGGTGGTCGTCGTCGTCGTTGTCGTCGTTGTCGTCGTCGTGGTGGTCGCGTCGTTGGCATCGTCAGCCCTCCTGTCCCCCCATTTCCGTTCCCCTCCTCCTCATCCCTCTCGTCCTCCTCTCGTCCTCCTCTCGTCCTCCTCTCCCCCTCTCCTTCTCCTCTTCCTCCTCCTCCTCTTCCTCCTCTTCCTCCTCCTCCTCCTCTCCCCCTGTCTCCCCCTCCTCCCTCACGTTCTCCTCTCCCTCGACAGTGGCACACTACGAGTGCTGCTCTCTCTCTCTCCTCTCTCCCTCTCTCTCTCTCTCTCTCTCACGAAGCCGTGCTGAGAGCGGCGCGCCCCCCTCTCCGCGCATATGTTCCCCAATCAGAGCTTGCCTCTGTAGGGGTCCTACCGGATTCATATGGTTAGGTTAGGTTTGCCGCCGATTTTCGCCGCACGCCGGGGTGCCTTGGGTGCCCGAGCGTGCATGGGGTTGCCCAGGGGTGCCCGGGGGTGCCCTATAGCCCTATAGCCCTATAGCCCTATAGCCCTACAGCCCTAGGCCCTATAGCCCCATAGCCCTATAGCCCACTAGACTAATAGCCCTATAGCCCTACAGCTCTATAGCCCTATAGTTCTATAGCGCTATAGCTCAATAGCCCTATAGCCCCAGCCCTATAGCCCTGATTGTTTTTTTTCTCCGGTATCATGCTTTTTACACAGGGTTGGTGCGAATTGGTTTATTTTTCTGTACTTTTTCGAACTCCGAGCGTTTTCTGCCCCCCAAAGCATGGCCTTGCGGGTTGGGCCCAGACCCCCTCCAGTCATGACGACATCACGACGTGAGGTTTTCCGCCATTTTGGGCCTCTGGGGACCCTCACCGGGTCTCGGGGCCGTCAAAAAACGACTCGGGATGAAAAGCCGATCCTGGGGAATGTGTCGAGACCTCTGGGGGTCGACATTTTTGACCCCTCCAAAAGTGCGGTCTTGCTGCAGCGTGGACTCATTTTAGAATCGGGTTTCTGCTCCCTTCGTTCAAAGTGGCACTCTCGCCCAAGCGCAGGCCACTTTTCTGGATCCGTGCCCTTCTTCATCGTTGTCGCCCCCTCCTTTCCCCTTCTCCTCCTTCCCCTGGTTCTCTTGCTCCTCCCTCTCCTTTCACTCCAGTGCCTGCTGCTGCTGTTCATCCTCCTTCCTCATCCTCCTCCTCTCCCTCCTGCTCATCCTCCTGCTCATCTGCCAACTCCTCCTCATCTTTCTCCTGCTCTGTGAAGAGCTCCCCTTTCCCGATTGCGCATAGCACGATAGGGGTCGTTATTGGAGTTCCAGGTCTGCTATGACACGCGTTGGCGGATAGAAACAAAAACATCAACATGTGAATGGATGCGTGAGAGGGGTAGGATGTCAGATACTGCGCGAGCGCGCCTAGCGTGTCCTCCCCCCGTCGTCCTCCTCATCTCCTGTCCGGAAGAGGCTCCGCTGTCTCCGCCTTTTTTACACAGGATTTGGCTAAGCTGCATTTTCTTATGTGCTTTGGCAAAATGATTGTTTCGTCGCTTCTAAATTCGTGTTCTCGCTGCAGCGTGGGCCACATTTTAGGATCGCGCTTTGCTCCCAGCGTTCAGAGCGGCGCTCTCGCCCTTGCGTGGGCCATTTTTCTGGATCCCACAGGTCTCGCAGGTCCCACAGGTCTCGCAAGTCTCGCAGGCCCCACCGGTCCCACAGGTCCCACAGGACCCACAGGTGTCGCAGGTCGTCCCGCAGGTCGCACAGGTCCCACAGGTCTGACAGGTCGCACAGGTTCCACAGGTCCACAGGTCCGACAGGTCCCGCAGGTCATTCAGGACCTACGGGTGTCGCAGGTCCCACAGGACCCACAGATGTCGCAGGTCTCACGGGTCCCACACGTGTCCAACACAGGTCCCACAGGTCCCACAGGTCCCACAGGTCCCGCTGGTCTCACAGGTCCCACAGGTCTCCCAGGTCTCGCATGACTTACAGTTCCCACACGTCCCATAGGTTCCACAGGTGTCGCAGGTGTCGCAGGTGTTACAGGCCCCACAGGCAGGAAGACGAGGGGGGAACAGCGAACGGCGGAGGAAGAGGAGGAGGAGGAGAAGGAGGAGGAGGAGGAGGAGGAGGAGGAGGAGGAAGATGAGGAGGAAGAGGAGGAGGAGGAGGAGGAGGAGGGAGGAGGGAGGAGGAGGAGGAGGGAGAGACCGGGGATGAGGTGGAGGAGCAGCGAGGAGCAGGAGGAGGAGGAGCAGCAGGACAAGGGATGAGGAGAGCTAGGTAGAGGGGAAAGACGGATATATTTGGGAACGTAGTTTCTGGGATCGAGGACCAGGCGAGGAAGAGGATGACGAGGATAATGAAAAGGAGGATGGAGTAGCATAATGAAGAGGGGAAGCAGGATCAGAAGGATCCTCGTCCTCCTCCCGCTCCTCCCACTCATCCTGCCCGTCTTCCCCCCCCCTTCCCCTTCCCTCCAACCCTCTTCTCCTCCTCCCTCGTGCTACTGCTGCTCCATCCTCTGCCCCTCTTCCGTCTTCTTTCTCCTCCCCCTTTCTCTTCCATCCCTCGTCCTAGTTGCCATCATCATCCTCGTCGCCGCCGCCGCGGCCGTCGCCGTCCTCGTCGTCGTCGAATCCGCCACCGCCATCGTCGTCCTCGGGTGTTGTCATTGCCCTTGTCGTCGTCGGCGTCGTCTTCGTCCCCGACGGCGTAGTCGATGTCGACGTCGCCGCCGCCGCCGCCATCGCCGCCGTCCTCGGTGGCGTCCTCGTTGTCGGCGTCGCCGCCGCCGTTGGCGTTGGTGCCGTCGCGGTCGCCCCGCGACCAGATCATCGCCGAGAGCACGAAGGCCGCCGAGTACACCGCCTACGGGCTCGTGCAGGTGCGCCAGGAGCGGTGCTCTCCCCTGGGGTGCCAGCTGCCTGCCGGCTGGGGCGCCGTTGGGACCTCGACGGCGACGACGACGACGACGACGACGACGACGACGACGACGACGACGGCGAGGACGACGGCGACGACGACGACGACGACGGCAACGACGACGACGGCGACGTCGTCGACACTCGAACTTTAGTTTCCCGCCCAGGTAGTCGGCCACGCGCAGAGGGGGGGTGGGGGGAGGGGGGAAGGCTGCTTAGAAGCACCCCTGCTTCTTAGAAGGCGCGGGCCTTGTCTGTGGATCTAAGGCCGACATTTTCCGAGAAGCAGCCTGCTTCTAAGAAGCCTTCCCCCCTCCTCCGACCCCCTTGTTCGCGCCGCCAAGGTGGGCTGTGCCCAGAGGTATCTTGTTCGTGAGGAGGAGGAGAAGGAGGAGAAGGTGGAGTAGGAGGAGGAGGAGGAGGAGGAGGAGGAGGAGGAGGAAGAGGAGGAGGAGGAGGAGGAGGAGGAGGAGCTTTAGGGGTTAAGTAGGAGGTGGCGAGGATGCTCCTCCCTTCCTTCCGCAGAGCCTTCGGGCGTCTCCCGTCTACCCGCGCGCGCGCGGGCCGCGCGCGGCCGCCCGGCCGACGCGTGAGTGGGCATCCCCTGGCCGTCCTGAGGCCCAACGAGGACGAGAGGGAGGTGGAGGGAGCGGCTGGGCCGCTCGGATGATGTAGTGGTTCAGGAACAGCGCTAGATTGAACTAGACGCAGTATCTCGTGAGTGACGATGTACTGGTATACCATTGTCCACAGCGCTGTACCTCGCAGTCTTTTTTGGCTTCAGGCGGGCCGTTCTCGTCGTGACCATTGCGGTCTACGGAGTGCCGCGCGCTGGAGCTGGCACGTCGTGCCATCCAGCCACCGGGCTGTGGCGGACGTCTCGTCCAGCCTCTCCGCGACGCAATCTCAGTACGTCTTGCCGAATTAGCCCTGTGCTGCGTGGTCGATTACTTCTGGTAGTCCAGGGCTTCCGTGGGCCTTGGGTGTTCGCCCTGCGGACCTCGTGGTGCAGAGACGGGCCCTGGCAGCTCTGCCGGCGGTCCCCGCTGCCCTGCGGGCAGCACCCTTGGCTCAGGGCGTGGGGGTCGCAGCCCAGCTGGTGGCCCTGGCAGCTTTGCTCTGCGGGGTCTTGCAGAACAGCAGGTGGTCCTGGTAGGACGTAAGTCTCGTAGCTCTACCTGTGGCCCTTGTGGCGCAGCTCGTAGCTCAGCTGGTTGGCAGTTCATGGCAGCTCCTTGCCCTGGTGGCGCAGCAGGAGGCTCTCGTAGTTCTGGCTGCGGACCGCGTAGTTCAGATTGTGGCTCTCATAGCTGCGCGGGTGGCCCTCGAAGCTGAGCTCGTGGTTCACGAAGTTGTTCTGCGCCAGATCCTATCAGTTGAGCTTGTCGCTCTGGTAGCTCTGCAGGACGCTCTAGTCTTTCTTTTTGTGGCCCTCGTAGCTCAGCTCTTGGCCCTTGCAGCTCGGGTGGCACAGCTGGTTTCTCTCGTAGCTTAGTTGGTTGCCCTCGTAGCTCAGGCTGAAGCCCTGTGCCTGCTGGTGGTCGTCGTAGCCCTCTAAGCTTTGATTGTGACCCACACACACACACACCCAATTTGGCAGTTTCACCCACCTAGTACAGCGTTCCGTGGCCCCATAGGAAGCTCCACCGAAGCCCCTAGTGGGACCGTCCGCATTCGTCCTGCACACCCGATTTGGCATTTTCACCTACCCAGTACAGCGTTTCGTGCCCCCATTAGGAGCTCTACCGAAGCCCCCAGTGGGACCGTAAGCCCAATTTGGCGTTTTCACTCGCCCAGTACAGCGTTTCGTGGCCCCATAGGGAGCTCCACCGAAGCCCCCAGTGGGACCGTCCGCATGCGTCCCGGAAGCCCAAGTTGGCATTTTCACCCACTCAGTATACCGTGTCGTGGCCCCATACGGAGCTCCACCGAAGCCCCCAGTGGGACCGTCCGCATGCGTCCCACACACCCAATTTGGCATTTTCACCCACCCAGTACAGCGTTTCGTGGCCCCATAGGGCTCCACTGACGGCCCCAGTGTTACCGCCCGCATGCGTTCCCCACCACCCAGTGCAGCGCTTCGTGGCCCCATAGGGAGCTTCACCGAAGAAGATATTCATAATTGCGGTACCCACAACTGCATATGGTCGGGTCCTTCGCCAGGATTTTTTTTCTACGACGACGTACTTAGTAACCTCTTCGGGCTGCTCGGTCGTGTCGTTCCTGGCGTCGGTCTTGGTGGCGTGTTGGGCTGCCTGTTACGCAGCTCGTTCTCGCAGTTGGGCGGCATGTTACGCAGCTCGTACTTTGACGCTCTCGCGAGGGCGGTCGTAGCAATGATAATGATGGCGGGCCGAGGCTGTATTCCATGCTGGACGTTGTGCCCCACTCGTTTTTGGGCCGCGTCTGTTCGTGCCCATGTACCTCTATGCGTGTGTTGGCCTCGGCATCCTTACCAGCACGTCTCCACAAAAGTGGGCAAGTCTCGCAGCCTTGCAGTTCAACAGCTGTTGGCTGATGTTATATGGTCGCGTTAATTCTCCTTCTCGTGGCTAACTCGGCGGCGGGCGCGGGGGGGAAATGAGAAGGGGCGGGACTTCCGAGGCTTCTGAGAAGTTTCTGGACTTCTGAGAGGGCTTCTGAGAAGTTCTGTCTGTATTCGAAGTAGGCCAAGGAGACCTCTCAGAAGCCCCCCAGACTTCTGAGAAGCCCCGCGGCCTTCTGAGAAGGCCTTCTCCTTCTCATTTCCCCCCTGGGCCCGCCGCCGAGTTATGGTCACGTTCATTCTCCTTCTCGTGGCTAACGCGGCAGACACGGATGATCACCTCCTGGTGGTTGTTCCACACGTTGGGCGCGCGCCGCCAATGGCGGCGGCGCGCTGGGGCCGGCCCCTCCCCCGTTGGGTTCCGGCGCGGCGGCGCGGGGGCCCTGGGCCAAAAAGGCCTTCTGCTCCTCCTCCTCCTCCTCCTCCTCCTCCTCCTCCTCCTCCTCCTCCTCCTCCCTCCTCCTCCTCCTCCTCCTCCTCCTCCTCCTCCTCCTCCTCCTCCTCCTCCTCCTCCTCCTCCTCCTCCTCCTCCCCTCCTCCTCCCCCCCTCCCTCCTCCCTCCTCCCTCCTCCCTCCTCCCTCCTCCTCCTCCTCCTCCTCCCTCCTCCTCCTTTTCCTCCTCCTCCTCCTCCTCCTCCTCCTCCTTCCTCCTCCTCCTCCTCCTCCTCCTCCTCCTCCTCCTCCTCCCTCCTCCTCCCTCCCCCTTTTTCCTCCTCCTCCTCCTCCTCCTCCTCCCACCTTTCACTATCGTCCAGGACGGGCGGGGGGAGAGCGCGAGAGAGAGAGAGAGAGAAGGAGCACCGCGACCTCGACGACTAGCACCACGACCACCGCCACCGCGACGACCGCCACGCCCTCCACAACGGTCACTGCCAGCGGCCCACACCATAACCACAGCGACAACGGCCACCACCACCTCGACAGCCGCCTGCCCACCGCCCCCGCCTCCCCTTCCCCTGCCCTTCCCCCTGCCGAGCCGTCCGTGCCGCAGCGGGCGCCTCGTGTGCCCCCTCCCCTCCTCTCCTTCGCTTCCGCTGCCTTCTAGAGTTTCCAGCGTTTCTGCCCCGCGCTGGCGGGTGCGGTTTGGCACCATGGGGGCTGTGGCCAGCTGCCCTGTCGGGTCGGGGCCTGGTTGCCTCTTGGGTGCCGTGGACTGCCTTCTCCCCCGTCTTCCTCCCCCCGAGAGGAAGGGAGGGAGAGAGAGAGAGAGAGAGAGAGAGGGAAGAAGGGAAGGGAGGACGGAGGGGGAGGAGGGGGAGAAGGAGATGGAGGAGCAGCAGCAGCTGAGAGGAGGGGGGGCGGCGGAGAAGGAGGGGGGAGAGGACGAGGGGGAGAGCATGTAGAACTGAGGGGAGGAGGGGGTTAAGGCATCATGATCATACCCCTCATTCTGCCCGTCCTTCTTCCTCTCTCCTTCTTCCCCTTCCTGATCATTCCTCCTCACTTCTGCCACCCTCCCTCATGTGTATCTTCCCTCCTGCGCCCTGTCCTCTTCCGTCCTTCCTCGTCCCCATTTTTTCCCTTCTCATTCATCTCCCTTCCTTTCCCCCCTCCTTCCTCCAGTCCCTTCTGATGCCTCCGGAGGCCCAAATGAGAAATCATGCGCAGAGATATGATTTTCTTTCCCCCTCCTGCCTCCTCCTCCCTTCTCCTGCGTCCTCCTATTCTTCCCTCCCTCCTAATTCGAGTCTCCTTCTCTTCCCTCCCTCTTCCACCCTCGCCTCCTCCACCCTCTCAACCTTTTTTCCTCTGTGCGCCCATCATTGGGCCTCTGCGGAGCAGCGCATTCAGCAGATTCAGCAGCATATTCCTCCCTCCCTCCTCCTGACGCTGTCGCTGGAGGCTTCGGAGTCTGTAACAGACGCAGTTCTGCCCCTCCTTGGAGGCCAACGTCGCCAGGGAGGGCGGGACGTCAAAGTAGAAGCAAAGCTAAGGGTGACGATGAAAGGGGGGTACCCCGCCGCCAGAGAAGGGGAGGAGAAGAGGTCAGGAGGGCGGAGGGATGAACTCACCTGAACGGGGGACCGAGCAGGGAAAGGGAAAAGGCCCGCCTAGCCTCAGAGCCCTTCCTACCATGCGGCGGGGATGGGCGTCTGTAGCAGTGGTGGCCCCTTCTACAATAGGATGCCACGGCCTTGACTCCTGTCATGAATCGTGCTGCAGTGGGTCTGCTGGTGCTCCTCTTCCCCCTCCTCCTCTTCCTGCTCCTCCTCCTCCTCCTCCTCCTCCTTCAGAATATAACAAACAGCTCCGCATTCCGCCAGCTGCGTACCCCTCCTGAAGGGTTGGAGGTAAGCATGTGCACCCGTCTCATTCGCTTCTTGTGATGAATGGTTAGTCGTGGTGCTCGACGTGTGCGCGGCTGGGTAGCGTCACCAGTACAGGAGGTGGGAATCTGCAGCCACCAGCCCAGTGTCCAGGTGGTGTGGGC